ATTGATAATCATTTGTTTTGGGTACAGAATCCATGAAAGGATCTTGTTTTATTAATCACAATTCTAAGTAATGTAACCTAAAGTTCATAACTAACGGTAATTTAACACGTCTTAAACACCGTTTTTATCTTTAAAAGTTAAAAGAGAAAAGTTATTATCTGACAAATTCATTGTAATACATATTAAGTCTTGCCTTTGAATACTCGGCAAAACCAAAATTGTTGCCAAAATGATAATACGACGAGAAGAGGGCTTCGATTGCAGAGTAAAAGTGAGCCAATAATAGGTTTCTTTCAATTTCTTCAACAAGTGTGGGCACAGTATTGTCAACTCCGGGCCATTGGCTCTCTAATGGACTCATACTATATTTATATAGTTTTACGTAATCAACAATTTGTTGTATTGACGGTCCAAATGGGTTAACAATAAAATGTGGATAATTCAAGCGCTTATCGTAATAGATGTTTGTCTCGGCTATAAGTGTGGCCAAATCGTAGCTCCGGTACATATATCCGCCCCAACCCATGTTCAATAGGGTTAACCGATTGCCAGCAAAACGTCAGAGAAAATACAGGTATAAAAGATCAAAATGTAAAAATACACTCTTTTGATGGCCGCGAGAGTAGAGAAGATATATCACAGACTAGGTTTGTGAGAGACGGAGGTTTAATAACCTATTATATTGCTCTGAAATTACCTAAAAATATAATAAAATTATAAAAATAAATATTTAAATATCGTATTAATTATTAGTTAATTTACATTTTGTGAGAATCCGTTCATTTTTGCATTGAAGGCAGCATTTCTTGCGAGTGATAAAAGAGTTGACAATTGATACCAAAAGTGATCCAAAGATTTAGGTGCGGGAGGATTGAGGCCATGAATGTACGCCAATTTGCCGATCACTTCATTGGCAATCACTGATAGGTCTGTGTTGTGAGCCATACGTGTGCCCTCCCTATCCTTTTTAAAGCAATTAATACTCGAGTTAATTGAATATAAATTATATTAAAAGTACAAAACACTCGCCAATACTCCTCAATACGTCCCGAAGAAAATGAATCCAAAATCTTAGGCGTTATGTCTGTTTGAAAGGGTTGGCCACAGGTCTGGGAGAAGAAGGCCGATACCATCGCTGCCCTATTGTCCCGATTGAGTTGGCTATGTATGGGTCCGTACAATACAACAGCCGCCTGTCTCTGTTCATTGTATACCGTCTGTACACCTAATGGTAAACCGCAATAAAACCACCTGTCCTTCAATGATCGGTTCAATGGATAAAATCTCATTTGTTGTGCAGTAATGGTATTCCAGACGCCCGACAGTGTATTGCGACAAATGCTAAAGACTTGGTCCCGATATTCCTCATGGTTTCCATAATTATTCGCAAATGAATAGTTGGTATTGTTTTGACTTTTGGTCCAAACATTATGGTTAAGGTTTGAAGCAATGTATGGATAATAAGACGACTTAACATTTGATATCCAATTAAATGTCGAAAATAATAAAAGGATATAAATATTAATTGATTTTAATAACATTTGTCTCAAGTATTTCAATATTTATAACTCTATAAACTCAATCATAATTAATTCACTGATTATTGTTTTTGATGGCAATTTTTATTCAATATATTTATTTTCCTTATGTATAATAAATTAATGCATTTGATTGCAAATGTGTTTTATGCGAAATGATTTTTTAATGAATTTTTAATAACTTTTTTATTTTATATATGAATTCAATTTTCATTTTCAATTTAAATTATTTATTAAAATTGTGTTTAAATTCATTATTATTATGTTTAAAATGTATTATTTTTAAAACAAATGAATAAAAATATATAAATACTTATAAAAAATTTAAAATTTAAATTACATCCAAAAGCAAATTATGCTAAATATATTTATAATTATTATTTATTACAAATTTATTTATATGTTTTGCGAACTATTATTACATATTTTAGTATTTCTCATAAATCCTCTTAAATTTAGGTCAAAGAATTGATTACTTTCTTTTGATTTATTAAATATTTAATGTTATTGTATTTGCAATTATTTCAAAATTCATTGCTTGTTATGCAGTAATATATTTATTGTATATTTAAATGACAAAATTGTTATTAAGTTATAAAACGAGGTTTAATTTGAGATTTATGAATCAAACATAATGTTAAAATTCAAATGTCTATTTGGCAATAAATTGGACATAAATTAAACCTGCATTAGACTTGTCCTTCAATATTAAGCTTTAATTAATAATTGAAAAATTTAATTAAAATATAATGCGAAACAATACATGTCAGACAAATGCAAATGCAGATCAACATCGACTCCCTTTCCCATCCGTTTGTAAGAGAAATGTGAAAATAATTCGGATTTTCATTAATAAAAAAGATTTGTTTTATTTTGTTTTATACTTTTATTATTCATGAAATTTTAAACAGTTATAAAATATTTTAATTGAATTCACAATCACTGCAAATACATAACTATCATTAATGTACGTGAAAAGTTATTTTCTAATTAACATCCAGGTAAATGTTTGTTACTGTAGAATTTCATTGACTTTAATTTTTACTATATAAATATCTTTTATTATTGGCAAATTATTTTTAGCAAATGACTTGTTATGCGAAAAATTTTCTTATAATATACTGTAAATGTTGTGTTCATTTTGCTTTACAACTAATGTCTTAAAAATAGTGATCTCCTAATGTATTGAATCCAATGCCATAAGAGATGAGCGTATATTTTATGTGATTACAACACACATACCGTAAAGCATTGCTAATTACATTGGTAATGTTAAGTTAAGTGTAGTAATAAATTTAACTTTTAAATTTCACGCAAGTCAAATAATTGGGTAAACAATAACATAACTTATTATTATTATTATTATTAACTTATTATTAAAAATACACAAAAGATTCCCATCGACAGCGAAAGGAAGTGTTTAGTTAAAAGTAAAGGGAAATTGAATTATACAAACGGTTTGTTATCCCAACACTACTTTGTATGCATAGATTCAGTCGTTTAAAAATATATGCATAATATTTATATAACTATTTTTACAGCGAATGACAAATAATTATCATATTTAGTAGCGTTAAAAATTTGAGACAACACTTAATACTCAAACAAAACAATTAATTTTATAAATAGACTGTTCAGCGAATAAATATATAGACTTATGTTACAACTCGTATAGTGTATAAAAAAATATTCACAATACATATTACTGTAGTGTTGAGTACACGTCAAATAAATTGTTGAATTGTGTTAAGAAATATCTGTTATTATTATTAATACATTATTGAGAAAGTATATGAAATGTGAATTTTATGTGAATGAAAAATGTTGAATGAAACTAATTTTTCCTAATAAATAATTCAATTGATATAACTGTCAGAAAAAGTGATTAAATATTTAGTTGAAATTAAAATATAAGTTGAATAACGAGTTAAAATACAATAAAGTAAACCCTCTTTTTGTATGCTATGAATCCAATTGCCGTGAATTGAAGGCTAAAGACACCTCAACTCCCATGAGATGATCACATAATATACTATACTATCCGTCCAATTGATTGCTTGATCGCTGTTGTGGTAACAAATGATTTCTTCTTCAAACACTGTGTTGTTGTCTGTAATTATGTTTTCATTTCTTATGATTTCGTTCAAATAAAGCCTTTTCGCTGTCGAAACACAATTACAAATGCATTAATACTTTTGTGTCAAATAACTACTCGACTCTCATCTCCGATACTTCACTGCTCTTTCGTAAACGTGATTGAAAATGAAAATAAAGTTTTAACACAAAAACTTTTAAACTGTAATTGTATTGGCATTTGTGATGCCATTCTCTCACTCGTAAACATAATATGTTATAAACTTTATTTCGGTTTATAATGTTTGCAAAATTGGTATCAAAAGAGTTGATGCCTTCATTACTGACCAACATTTGATAATATGTTAAGTTTGGACACAATTATTATTACACGTAATGAATGTCCAAACTTTGCGTAAAGTACTCATCCGATGGGTCACTCGTAAGATATATTCACCCATCATTTTAATTTATAATTATATTTTTAAATAATTTATTCGTGGCTTTATTGAATAAGTTCACAATTAAATTGTTGTTTTAAGCATTAATTTAATTATTCATAAAAATAATAAATTATTACTTTTATTATTTTAGTGTTTTATAGGAAAAGCATGAATCGTACAAAACTTTATTTCCTTATCGTATTTGTATTTGCATTGTATTTCATTATATACAACATTCCCGACTCAATCAATAGGTATGTCGTGATTGAAAATGAAAATAAAGTTTTAACACAAAAACTTTTAAACTGTAATTGTATTGGCATTTGTGATGCCATTCTCTCACTCGTAAACATAATATGTTATAAACTTTATTTCGGTTTATAATGTGTGCAAAATTGATAACAAAAGAGTTGATGCCTTCCTTACTGACCAACATTTGATGATATGTTAAGTTTGGACACAATTATTATTACACGTAATGAATGTCCAAACTTTACGCAAAATACTCATCCGATGGGTCACTCGTAAGAAATATTTACCCATCATTTTAATTTATAATTATATTTTTAAATAATTTATTCGTGGCTTTATTTAATAAGTTTACAATAAAATTGTTGTTTTAAGCATTAATTTAATTATTCATAAAAATAATAATTAATTACTTTTATTATTTTAGTGTTTTATAGGAAAAGCATGAATCGTACAAAACTTTATTTCCTTATCGTATTTGTATTTGCATTGTATTTCATTATATACAACATTCCCGACTCAATCAATAGGTATGTATTAAATCATCAAATTATTCAAATAATTGCAAACTAAAGCCATTGAATTTTATGCTAATTATTTCAAACGCAAAACAAACAAAAGTTTGGATAAATCCATGATATCATCAATAAATTCTTCGTCGCCAACGAAATACATCGTAAACACAGAGACGTGTAAAATGATTGAGTGGCCGGTCTTTGACGCCGAGACCCGTCCTCTATATCGCAATCATAGCGGACGGCGTGTGAAGTGTCGGTCGCCTGAGAGCCAGTACTTAACCATTAGGCGTATCAATCATACGGCCATTGATATTAAATACTTAGCAAATACTCAATCACTGCCGCAATGTTTTGCCACAGAATTGTCGCGAATTAAGGGTTTGGAGTCACGAGTGATGTACGGCTTAAAAGTGGGTCCAATTGAGGGATCTGTCGATCTGAGTAAATGGGATGCCGTCCGCGTCGAGTGCTATACCATTAAAAACACAACACAAAAACTCGAGTCAAATAATTACATCAAAAACAAATACAAAGTGGTCGACAGAATCGTGCCGTTAATACCGGCCAAGAGGTCGGACGAGACCATGAATTACAAGACAAGGACATCAGGCAAACAGGACGGGAGGCCTAATGTGCTTATGCTGGGCATTGACTCTATTTCGTGGCTTAGTTTTAAACGACATTTTAGTTTAACCAAAACTTTGGCAGAAAAACACGACTTCTATCCTATTTATGGCTATAATAAGATCGGCGACAATACTTTCCCTAATCTGATGGCTATACTGACGGGTAATTTCTATCATCACTTCTGGAATGAGTCGATGAGGACTACGAAATACTTCGATGACTTGCCATTCGTTTGGAAACACTTCTCAAGACATGACTACATGACAGCTCTCATCGAAGATATGCCCCGATATTCACTCTTTAACTTCAATAGGAAAGGCTTTGTCGACAAACCGACGGATTATTATTTACGGCCCGTTTCGGTGGCGATCGACAGACAACTCAAAAGACATTGTTATAAAGACGGGATGGAAATAGAGGTTTATTTCGCTTTTTATCACTTGTTAACAGTTTTATAATTATTTTTTTAAACTTTATTAGTTTTATTATAATTATACTTACGATTTGGTGGACGCTATGAGAAGTCGGCAGCAAAAGTACTTTGCATTTGTATTTATGGCTCATTTAACTCATAATAACGCCAATTATGCGGGTTATGCCGATTTGCCCGTCTATGAGCTCTTATCAAAACTCTTTGATAATAATCTGCTCAACGATACCATTGTTTTCCTGTACTCAGACCACGGCATCCGTTTCGGTAAAATCAGATCAACCGCTTCGGGAACTGTTGAAGAGAGGCTACCATTCGTTTACATATATTTACCGAAAGCTTATAAAACTGAATCCATTGATAAAAATCTTCGGATAAACGCTCGCAGACTCACCACTCCTTTCGATATATACGCCACTCTCAGACACATAGCAAACGGTATTTAAAATTATCATAAGGTTATCATAAGATAATCACAATTCTTAGCCATAAGTGTTGTTTAATTCGTTTTTTAACAATATTTTTGTTTTGTTTTTGTTGGGAATTCAGGCGAAGCGGAACCTAATCTAAGTCACGGCATGTCTTTGTTTAATGAGATCCCAGCGAACCGGAGCTGCGATAGCGAACAGATATCAGAGCACTGGTGTACTTGTGCTCAACAACAACACCAATTGAAAAGTTACCAAAACATTACATTTATCGCCAATTTTGTGGTGTTTGAAGTGAACCGTCTGTTGAAACCGGTGTCCAATTTATGCAAAAAGTTATTATTAAATCAAATCGAGTCGGCGTTTGAGTCGAGACGAACTCAAACACATTATGAGAAATACTATTTAATAAAACTAGAGGTAAGACCGAGTGGTGCCGTCTTCGAGGCCACAGTCCGTCAAGTTTTTGACAAATTGACAATAATTGGCGACATTTCAAGAATTAACGAATACGGCTCTCAATCTTCTTGTATTGACAATTCATATCTGCAAAAGTATTGCTTTTGTTAAAACAATCGGTTGTTTTGTGATTAATATATTTATTGAATTTTTTAGAAAATTTTGACAAATTCTGTGATATTTTGTAATTATAATTTTTTAATTAAATAGCAAATAATAAAATGTAGTTAATTATATTCAACGAGTATTATATTTTATTTATGATGAATTACTATCGGAAGCATTTATTTCGCTCGGCAATAACATAACAGCTCCGGAATCTGAATGTATGGTTTGAATAGTGGCCACTGTTTCTACCGAACCGCTACTATTGGCCACATTATCGCTGAGTTGGGATTTACTATTCAACCGATTTATTGCCGACTCTCTCGATATCAGACACAAAACAATTGCAATAATAATTGTGAAACAAATGGCAATTATGACAAACACTATGATAATCAAGAAACTGGTAGTACTGGTAGTGCTGTCACAACTATTATTAAACAATTGGTTTAGATTGAGATCCGTTTGAATGAGTCGTCTCTTTTCATTCATGTAATCGTAGCGATAAATACGTGAAACTCTTTCAGACACAAGGCTTTCATTCATATCTCCTGCGATATAAACACTGTCTTCAATGAGAAATATGCCGCGAATTACGAGACCTTTTCTGTCAATTGTCTGTCTTTTGAACGAATTTCTCCAGTCTTTTGGTCTATTTGTCAAACTATTTCGATATAGTATTGGTCTCGAACTCCAGTCATTTCCGTTCACAATATATACAAATTCATAGATTTTTGGTATGTATAAGACGTGGGATGGGATAGAGTTGCCAACAAATAGATCGTCCAAATGGTTGCCAAAAGGCATCAAACGCCAGGGCATGTCTGACCTGTCAGTGATGGCCACTTTAGTCTGAGGCTGGGATTCAAATGTACGATAAAATTGATATTTCATTGAATTGTTGTTACGATTATAAAAGAGCTCGAAATATAAGTTTTTCATTTTCTCCACTTCTAGACAATCGTGTGAACAGTTGTGCGGTTTGTTTGTGTTGTTTATTATGTGAAATGCGGACCACTTTTCGTATCCGTTGTCCGAATCGGTAATTCGTTTCAATGTTTTACTAAATGTATTGTAAAGCCATTTGCCTTCACTTCTAATCAATTGGATGTAATTTTCTGTCCGATTATTCAAACGTTTGAATTCAAGATTAAATACTGTCTCCAAATAGTTTGTTTGACAAAACATTAAATCACACAGAATTTCATTTATACATATTAATTGAATACAATATAAAAGCCTAATGTTCATGATTTTATGCTTATTTCTGTGTGGCATTCAATTATGTCTAGTAATGTTAAACACACTTAAAATTATCTTTTGTAAACTACTATTAGTAATAGTCTATTATTGTGTATAAAGTACTCTATTACACTTAATTAAACTTATTGCGATAGTCACTATCGAGCCAATAAGAATTGAGTATTTTAAATATGTGAATAATTAAATTGTTGATCGATTAATTCAGTATTTTTTCGCGCGATAATTAAACGGTTTGCAAAAACTACAGTACACTTAGTTATGTCTTTAACCGTACATTTTTGGGCAACAATATACTCATTTGCCGGTCGTTAAGTGTTGTTAAACATTTTACATTTAAACATAATTTAATGATCCGTTAATTGACATTATTATCAAATTTAATATTATTTGAATTAAACGTTTATTTAATTTATTTATTTCTTGAAAATTTATTAATTCTCAACGATTTTATCGCAAGTGTTGGACATTAAGTAATGACTCGATTCTGTGATCGGTTTCGAGATTTATTCACAAATAATCACAAAACTAACAAAACAGTAATCAATTGAATGTATGATTAAAACAGTTTTTCTAATTGTGTGTTCCGTTAAATATAGTGTCAAAACTATGCAAAAGATTCTTTTGATCGATTCGGTGATGATTTGGTCCGACTTTTATTGTCCTACCATTCAGTCGGCGAGAATTATAACATATTTTTAGTTTCAACTTTTGGAGACACATGTCTTCACGAATGTGTGTCCAAACAATTCCAGCGCTTAATGTTTGACACATTTAATGATATTTATATCAACGAAGATATGATCGTTAAATTCAGAGCCAAAGAGACTGCAAATCATTGTCTTTCGGACGAAGAGTTGTGTCAGAAATTGATTGTATTTCTGCAGAAGAAGTGTCCAAACATTCAAAGAGTTTATTACGTTTGCAGAATAAATGGCTTTACAGACGAGACGTATCGGAGACCACTGTTTGAGGCCATCGATCACTCGCGAAACAGTTGGCCGTATCTCAAGAGTATTCACTTTTTCCGCTATAATTATTACGAGTCAAATAGTGAGTCAAACCATCAGTTTCTTGAGTATATGTTCACCACATTTGGTCCAATGATCACTGAATTAGAGCGCTATGAAGAGATCCTATCGCCATATCTCTCCAATTGTCCCAATTTATGTCAGTTATGGACTAATGGCTTGCAATCCATGTTTACCATCGAAGAAGACAACCAATTAATAGCTTTCAATCGCATGAAAAAAATTCATATCATTTGGAGTGACAATGATTTTAATGCCCAAAGATTTAAAATATTTATTGATTACTATAAGACACGACTTCGTTGTCTCGCTATCGAAAGAATCAACTCATCGATTGGTTCGCAATCAATGGTCACTCAATTGATCACAAAATTGTCTCAATTCCCAGAACTCCGAGAAATACAGTTAAATTTTGACCGCGAAACAACTCTTCAGTATTCACTCTATGATAGTCTGAAGACAATTGGTATGAAGTGTACAAAACTCAAGAAGTTTTCAATATATGTTGATTCAAATGACATGGTATTCATTGTGAAGATAATAAATGCCATTCAATACATGCGACGATTGAAACGCCTGCACTTAGGGCTCAAACTTTCTCAAACTAATACCAATGAAGTGGTCATCGATTAGACTCAACTGCAAGTATTGAATGGTTGGCCACAATTGACACACTTATTCATATCGTGGTACGATATCCCACTGGAACTGATTGAACAGATTGTGTCCAAACAATACAAACTAAAGACACTGGAAATCTCTGTATATTCCTTCAGGATTGACAGCCAATGGTTGGCCCGTATCTTAAGACTACCTCCACTGGAATCGCTGAAAATCAATTGCACAAAAATATGTCGTTTCAAAAAATACGATTTAAAGCAAATGATTAAAAAATGTCAGAAATTAAAGAGTCTTAGTATTACTAAGTGGACTGGACACACATTTTGTACGATTAATTACCATTACAGACTTGGTCTTTGGCACAACGACTTACTTCCCAATCGGTTCCCATTCTGTCCTTTTCTTTAAGACAATTATTTATTCATTTAAATTATTTAATTTTAGCCAACATTTGGTCACATTTTTATTCGACTCTTATTTTTCATTAAATATTCTGTGATTTTATTTAAATGACATATTTTTCGCAATAAATTCAATAAAATATTCATTTCTATTCAACCATTGGTTTTGTAATAAATATAGATTTCATTTGAAGCGAAATAATCAACATATTTTTGTATTTAACACTTTATTTGCAATTTTTTTTTCAATAGAAATTTTTTGGTACAAAAGGAGTTAAGATAAAACCAATTTTTTGTTATAATTTACACAATAGTTATACAGAGAATGCAATGATAAGTATATGTTAACAAATTATGTTATAAACAAAGTGGGATTAAATAACTCATCAAATTAAATGATTGATTATAAGTATTCAGAGAATCGGTTGGAATGAAAACATAATAATTAAATTTTTAATTAAAAATACAAATCATAAGTATATCTCACAATTGAAAACTCACTAAATATTTAAATAAATGCGAAACAAATCAGCTGTAATCCCATAGAAACCCATTGAAAATTGGGATAACATTAACCACATGTTAAAGCATAGTTATAGACTTAAGCTGGAATCCCATGTTAAACAAAATCCAACATTTAATTATTTTAATTTAATTTTTTAAATATAAATACAGTAATTTTTATGCGTGATAATCATAGTTTCATTTAAATAAAACTAAAAGCAAAAATTTCATGGTTTATAAATATTCTAAAAATTAAAACTTTTTTATTGTTAAATCGTATAATGTAATTTTAATATTTTATTTGAAACATTTCATATTTTTTATTTATGATATAATTTATACAGATGATTATTTAATTTATGGAAAATTCTAAAAATGTGATTTTCTTTGTTATTATAAAAATGTAGAAAATTTTACAAATAATGATTGATTTCTTTATTCTAAATTTTTTTGTGTTTTTCCATAAGAAAATATACATTATATTACTTGTGTCAGCGATTTATACAATATTTGATGTAATCTTATGAGACATATGCATAAATCGTGTTTATTTAACACAAATAAAAATTTATAAATTTATTGTATATTGAATAAAAATAATTTGTGTTTTTACTACAGATTATGTCTTAAAACAAGCTTAAAATTTTTAGAGTTAGAAATGATTGCAAACAAATTGCTATAATTAGTAATAAAACTAATTGATATACAGTAGGCATCAATCAATAATCACGGCTTTAAACATAAATACAAAAATAACTCGCTTTCCCCACATTCGGTGGTTTTATAGTTGTTGTCAAACATGTATTTTAATCAAATTCTCTCTCTCTCTCTCTCGATATCAGACACAAAACAATTGCAATAATAATTGTGAAACAAATGGCAATTATGGCAAACACTATGATAATCAAGAAATTATTATTTTAGAATAAATTGCATTTCATTTAACTATTAATTATGGGAATAATAATAATTCATGTGACAAATGAATTCAATAAAAAATAACAAAATTCTTACGCAATTCTTGTGTGCATTTGTTTGTCGCGCATAACTTGACGTAACTGTTGTGCGAGAATCGTATCCAAAACATCGATCGGTGAAGTTTCTTGTGGTAGTGCTGTGCGCGCACATCCAGCCATCCATACCACTCTCTCACAGACTCTCTCTCTCTCTCTCTCTCTAACCTTCAATTTTTAAGTGATATAATAATAATAAAAATTGTTTTAAAATTCCGCTATTTTATGACAAAATGATATATAAAATATGTGTTAATTAAAGTAGTTTTTATATTTGTTTAAAATACAAAAGTCTATAACATCAATGTACAAATTCTAATAGAAAATCGTTAAAATTATCAGGATTGTTAATAATATTTATTATTAGTAATACTTAAAATAGTTTTAATTATTTCGTAATTTTGTTATTGTGTTGAAACTGCAATGACATGTTGTATTATAATTAGAGTATTTCTATTTATATATATATTTAATGAATATAAAATTTATATAAACTTATTTTCCATTAAAGTAAACGTTTTTTTTTGCTCTCATCGCCTCTTATACTGATGTTAACATTGTATTAATATTAACCAACAAATAAAAGCAATAAATATATGCCAAACATTGAATGAAATTAATATTATTTTAGAATAAATTGCATTTCATTTAACTATTAATTATGGGAATAATAATAATTCATGTGACAAATGAATTCAATAAAAAATAACAAAATTCTTACGCAATTCTTGTGTGCATTTGTTTGTC